AGTTCGTCTAGTTTCTATAGATAACGGCTATTATAAGCGTAGTAGTTAAGGTACGCCTTACTTAAAGGGTTAGAAAGATCGAGGAGTAACCTATTATTTGTAAGATCGACCCCAGCTAGCTTAGCTCTATATTTTTGCCCTTAGTTAGTCTATTAATTAATTAACCCTTTCCCTATATTTAGCCTAGCCTTAAAATTTTAATTAAACCCTTATTATAGTCGTCCTTTTAACTTAGTTAGTATAGTAGGCTCCTAGCCTTAGGCCTATAGTATAGGTAAGGTTATTCCTATAGGTATAGTAATAATAGCAAGTAAAGTTAATAATAGCGGCGCTAGCCGTCTTAGCGCAAACTTTACTTTGCTTTCTAATTTCCTTCTTTAACTAATAATAATATTATTAATATAACCGTATCGGCTTTTAACGCATCGCTAGCTCGTAGCGCGACGCTATTATCGTTATTATTATTATTATTATTCGCGCGCGCGCGGCGCCCTAATCGCCTAGGCCCCGAGGCCTTAATAGGATAAAGGAATAAGAGAGGGACCTAAATACTAAGAGAAGGGCCTTACTACGTAGATAAAGAGCTTCTTAAAAGAGTAGGCGATTAGTTAGTGCATTATAGCGCGCTTATTAACACTCGGTATGCGTTTACTATTATAGTATAGTCTCGTTGTCCTTTGCTAATAATTGCTTGCCTCTAATTAGTTAGCTAATAGCACCCTAGGGGTACTATTAATCCTAGGTTTCTCTAGCGACATTATAGGCTCTTAGCCTTCTTCTTGTTCTTTATACTAGTCTAATACTTATCTAATAACTTAGTTATATCCTTAAAGGAGTCTTTAGCTTCCTACGAATTATATTTAGGCGAATAGCCCTACTACCTTAGTAGGTACTCCTTCTTGCCTTGTCTAGTCTAGTGCTTTAGTATACGCTCGACCGACTATAGCTCTTTACTATTAGCTAAGACTTCTTCCGACTTAGCAGGCGCTTTATCGCCTTCGCGCTAGCAGTATAGCTTAAGGAGGGACACGTAGAAGGTATTACAGATAGTATAATAAGGAGGGAGCTATAACTAGTAAGCCTATATACCCCTAGCCTCCCGGATACGGAATAGGCTAATATATCTTAGTACGAGCTTAGGCCTTGTTTTGCTATCGGGTAATAGGTACTTACGGATACGGAGGTTCTTTACACTAAGCATAACCACATCGCCTTACCTAAAGGTTATTAGTATATAGCGCTTATCGTAGTAGGTCTGTTAGTATTCTTAAGCTTTTATTAGCTTCTTAGCTATCTTAGAATAGATTTCTCGTATCTTCTAAACGCGTTCTATTGCTATTAGTATCTCTAGTACTTAACGCGCTTCCCTTTCCTTACGCTCGGCCTCGAGCGAGGTAAATAGTTCTTATAGCAAAGCGGCATTTTAGCCTATTATAGCTATATAGGGTAAAACCTTAGTTAATAAGTGCACGCTATTATTATATACGAACTCTATAGGCTATAGGAGGTTAACCTAATCTTTAGGGCTCTTATTAATGTAGCTACGTAGGTGCTACTTGTTACGGATCTGATTAGTTAGAGTCCTTATATGATCTTAGAGCGACGCCAAGACTAGTAGGCTGAGCTGTCGCTCTATCTTACTAGGAGCGACAGGAGCGGTTAAGAGCGACAGCGTCGCTCACGTCGCTTACGACTATAGACAAGATGTCTCCTTTGTATTTAGGAACGCCGGAATGCCCTTATAGCTCGAGGCGTTCAACTTATATTACTTACTTACTAATTGGAATTACCTTTGTACTAATTATTCTATCTCTGCCTCCCGCTTGTGTTAGCCTCTCTAAAGAAGCCTCGGCTTGCACGTAATAAGAAGTCACTTAACGATCTGTCGCGAGTAACCGTAACACTTTAAACGCCCTTAGGATAAGTGCCTTATTATAAGTCGGAAGGGGAACTCCCGCCCCTAGCGAGACAGGCAGTACTCGACGTACTACCTCTAGTACTAGCAATATACTCGGAACCTATACCGGAAACGATTCTCTTAAGATCGGAAAGCTAGACTTTTATTACAGCGACCGAGATAAGTTCGATACCTAGGTTAGCTAGATAGATATGTATTTTATGTTCAACTAGGTTTAAGATAACTTAAAGCCAGTCTTCGCAACGACGTTTATACGAGGTAGGGCTTAGTATTAGGTTAAACTATTTCTTAGGACCTATCTAGATAGCAACGGGACCGACAATTCGGATAGAATCTTCGCAAGCTACGAAAATCTTAAGCGTACGATAAAGAAGGTCTTTAGATCTTCTAACGAAGTTGCTACCGTAGTTAGGGTTATCTAACATTAACTCAGAAAGGGT